AGATTATCACAAAAATTCTTGTTGTTCGATTGGGAACAATTTTGGATCAATTGACAGGTAAAGAACATAATGCTTTTATCAGTGGGAGAAAAATTCAGGATAATATCATTGTTGCAAATGAGTTAATGAGAGGTTTTGGGGTTAAACACACTAAACCAACATTAGCTTGGAAGGTGGACTTAAAGAAGGCCTATGATTCTGTCCAGTGGAGTTTCATGTTAATTTTACTCCAATTGTATGGTTTTGGAAGTAAATGGATAGGCTGGATTAAGGAATGTATCTCTACTGTCTGGTTCTCTTTGTTAATTAATGGAACTCCATGTGGTTTCTTTCAACCTTCTAGAGGTATTAGGCAAGGATGCCCCTTATCTCCTCTGTTATTCACTTTAGTTACTGACTACCTTTCAGGAATGTTTCAACATGAATGTAAGGTAGGGCATTTGGTGGTTTCTGAAGCTGCTAGAAGGGCAAAAGTTGTTGTTACCCATCAATTTTTTGCAGATGACCTTCTTGTTGTGGTTCGAGCTAACATGGCCTCAGTGATGACTTTAAGGAGAATGTTTCAACATTTTCAAAAAGTCTCTGGTTTGGTAGTGAATGGAGAGAAATCTGAGGTGTTCTTCACTAGATCAGTTAAAAGAAAATCTTTTATTCTTAGAATTCTGGGCTGTAAGCAAGGTAATTTGGTTTTTACTTATCTAGGTGTTCTTATTATTGATAAAGGCTTGAAGAGAATTGATTGTAAACCATTGATTGAAAAAGTTGAAGCTGCTACTACTAAATGGGCTAGTATGAATTTATCTATGGCTGGTAAAGTTGAATTGCTTCGGGCAATTGTCACTCCTATGGTTCAATATTGGGCTTCGGTTTATACCATTCCTGCAGCTGTTGTTAATATTATTGAGAGGAGAATGAGAAATTTTACTTGGGGACATGATAATAAGTCTTATAAAGTTCATGGCTTGTGTTGGAATATTGTGACTTCTCCTAAATCAGAAGGTGGCTTGGGGCTCCGGAAGTTGGTGGATATTGATAGAACTGCTAAGTGTGTTTTGGCTTGGGACTTTATCCTTTCCAAGGATAGGTTATGGGTTGCTTGGTTTAAGCACTGTCATCTGAAAACAACAAATTTCTGGTCTGTGGTTCCTCGAATCTCTCAGTCTGCTATATGGAAGAGTATTGTGGCGGTGAGGGGTGTTTTGAAGATTAATTGTAGGTACCACATTGGTGATGGTGAACGGATTAAAATTCTCCTTGATCCTTGGTGCAATGGGCTCTTTCTTTCAGAGGAGTTCACTTTCAGAATTCTCAGAATGCTAACTCCGGACAAGACGACATTATTAAGCAAATTTTTGGTTAATGGTCAATGGCATTTCATTGATGTTCCTATGGTAATTCAGAATTATTTATTTCAGTTTAAAATTTATGGTGGGATTGACAGAATCCTTTGGAAGCATAACATGTTCACATATAAGGCAGCATGGGAGGCTTGTAGGTTGAGTAATCCAGATGTTTTCTGGTCGCAATTGGTTTGGAATGGTGGTAGGCCGCGGTAGTCAGTTCGTGGTACTCTTGTCTTACAAAATGCAGTGCTGACTGGTTCTAATTTACAGAGGCGAGGGATCTCACTTGCCTCTAGATGTTGTCTCTGTTGCAAATTTGAAGAAACTGTCACACATTTATTTGTGGATTGTTGTTTTTCTTGGCAGCTTTGGTGTGATCTTGCTGATATGTTTAAATGGAGGATTAACAAACATCAATTTGTTTGTGAATTTGCAATGGAGTTAGCTCATCAATTCGCAGCTACATCAGTGAGGAATAAAGATTGTAAAACCCTTTTTTCTACCACTTTGTATTTTATATGGAGTGAAAGAAATGGAAAGGTCCATAATGATGTTGTTAGAAGTTGTAGATCCCTTTTGAAATGTATTGTTTTGGAGGTTTTGGATGTCTTGGGGGTTTCTCTACAAGATGTCCTTTCCTAAGTTTCTTTTGTTTGGTTGGATAGGGGTCTCTCTATCCTTCTTTTTTAATCCTATAAAGGGATTTATTGTGCAGTGAGGGTATGCATTCACTTCTTGCTTGTACTTTATTTTTTTTATCTATAAATTTTTCTTCATTTAGGAAAAAATAAATAAATAAATAATAATTAAACACATAATCAAAATGATCATATCTCTCTTAGTGAAATATTTTGTTCATTGGTTCTGTGATTAATACATTAAAATGACTAGAAGCTACATAGTCAGACTCTCAGGAGAATTTGGTAGTGTCTAAGTCACATAAAGCGGGGGTGAGAGCGAATTTAAGAGCGGGACTGTGAGAGCGGCATAATTAAATCATAAATGGTGACAATTTGAGCAAGATCACGTGCGCAGTGTGAGAACGGGAGCGCACTCGGATCGTAAGAACGACACCAGTTAAGAAGGATTGTATGACTTAGGCTTCATTTAGATTGAGGGATTTAGAGAGAAAATAAAGGAAATGATAGTGACTAGTATGTTTGGATGGGAAGAATAAGATAGAAAAGAAAGGATTAGGAGGGATAGCTATCCCTCTAAATCCCTTATATTGTATCCCTCCAAATTTGACAAGATTTGGAGGGATTTGGAGAGAAATGAAACTAATGACAAAAGTAGCCTTGAGAGATGGGGCAAGCTTAAGAGTTGAGAGATAGCTGGCCTACTGAAGCTTTGCGAACGACGAACCCGAGCTAGAACAGCGGGTGATGGAAACTGATAGATATGGGTTTTGATTTTTTGAACAATCTGAAATGATATACGGATATGAGAACGAGAATAGCGATGGAGGCAATTGGGGAGGCTGAAATGATTTGAAATATGGGTATTTTGAACTTCTGATTCTTGTAGATTTTGTAGTTTGCAGTTGCAGAGAGAGAGAAGGGGGGGGGGGGCATGAAATATATGGGTTTTGAAAAATAGACGATATATATATATATATATATATATATATATAGAGAGAGAGAGAGAGAGAGGGGGGGGAAGCTTAGGAGGCGTCGAGTATGACGTCGTGTTGGCGTCGATAGCCGGAATGTTAAACGCAATCCTGGCGACTCCCTCCGATTCCGTCATTTCTACTCCGACAATCGTAGATTTTGTAGTTTGCAGTTGCAGAGGGGGGGCTGAGAATGAGAATAGAGATGGAGGCGATTGGGGAGGCTAAAATGATTTGCCCTACTGACCCCACAAAAAAGGGTAAGATGATAAATTATCCATTCATTCTTTTCTCCTCTATCCATCCAAACAAGAATATTACCCATTCCTTTCTTTTCTCTCCTCTCCATCCAAACATAAATATTATTATATCTATCCTTTCATTTCTCTCATAATCATTTCCTTTCTTTTCTCTCCTGTGTATCCAAATTAACGAAGCCTTAGGATAGTGTTTGGGAGGGTTTTGGAACCCCAAAACGGACTTCTAAGCCCAAGGAATCATTCAACTTTAGTAAATGGGCTTCTACTAGAACTACATTCTAGTAGAAGCCCAAACATTTAAAAGTCAATTTCATATAAATTGAGATTGCATTTTCATTTGTTTCGACCTAAAATATTTTATTTTATTTTTATTTTTCGGTATTTGGCAAAGATTTAGGTCGAGTCCATATGGTGTGATATGTAAAATAACTTGTCGAAAATTGCTGAATAAATTATTTTTGTTAGGTTTAATATATTTTTTTTCGTAAATATTTAACGACAACCAAACACTAGAAAACACAGAAAAAAAAAAAAAAAAAAAAAAATTCAAAAACAATTTTATGCTCAAATAAATGGAATCATGTGAATATAAAAATGATACAATATAAAAGTGTTTGCATTCTCGATAACCACATGAACACTAGTGCAAACTTAATATCAATTCCCGGATAAATAACAAGTAATTCAAGAAAAGTGTTGTCTTTAATATGCCTTTCAAATGTTGAACTAAGAATCTTTTCTTCTAGAGCACCTATTTCGGGCTGTGTTTGTATAGACTTATGTAATGATGGAGAAATTATTAGATAATTTTAATTTATTTAACACTTAATAAATTAATTTAATAACAATCCTCCTATAATGACACTTTGTAATATATTTTTTTATTCCAGCAACCGAGTATCAATGCCCAAAACCACCGAACAATTTGTCGTAATCATGATTTCAAAGTGGCATTATGGAAAGTGGAACATGTCATGTGGGCCATTGCCTATGCAATTATGCAAAGTCCCAATATGTTGTCACTGGACGTCGTGGGTAAATATAGACCGTTCATGGCAATGAATCAATGCCGTCGATTAATTTGACCAGTTTACTACAAGCTGTTAGTGTGTCACTAAAATTGGTGTGATCATACAAATACTTTATTTTCTACGCTGAATTGCTGATATAACATTGTGTCATGCCTCACTTGTCCACTCCCAGAATCAGTTCAATTTTTGTCTTCAACTATCTAAAACGGTGACAAATTCAACTTAACTGCACATATGTTCGGTGCCCCCTTGTTTGATAAATACAATTCCCATTTTATTCATCCAATTAATACTATGTTTATAAATATTAAATTGGTGCTTTTATTTTCAAATTAGAAAAACAATTTGTTGAAATTTTTACTAATGTTGTGTTTGATATGAAGGATTAAGAATAATAGTGAATATAATAAATTTCTTTCATTTCAGAAATAATAATGGGTAGAATTGTCTTTTCATAGTCGTTACAGTTTGGCGACGGTAACTCCAACAAACTGCACTGATAGCTTCCCACATGGTATCTGCATCTTGTTACACCTGCAGTCCTCATTAGCCTATCGCCAATAAAAGATGTCCATGAAGTTCTTACTGATCATAAAAATTTCAATATTTGTATTTACAGTTTACACACATATATGTGTATATATGTGTAAATTATATATCTTTGAAGTTGCATGTGAAATTATCAATTCAACTCAACTGTTGAGGGTCCAGCATTTGAAGCTAGCAGACGTAAAAAGGTATCAATTGGACCCAAATGGAGAAACAGATAGCGATAATCGGCGCCGGGATCAGCGGGCTGCTGGCATGCAAACACGCGGTGGACATGGGCTTCAGTCCGACCGTATTCGAGGCCCGAGACGCCATTGGAGGAGTTTGGGCGGCCCAGTCCATGGAGTCCACTAAGCTCCAGACTCCCAAGACCTATTACCAGTTCTCCGACTTTGCATGGCCACCGTCAGTGAACCAGACATTTCCTCATCACACCCAAGTGTTCCACTACATACAATCCTATGCTCGTCACTTCGATATCCTCCGTCTGATCAAGTTTAACTCCAGAGTGATTGGGATTGACTACTCTACGCCGTCCGATGAAGAAGGTATTGTTTCTGGGGATCTGTGGGGTGGCTATGGTGGGCCCTTCTCAGCTACAGGAAAATGGAAAGTCGCCGTACAGGATACCCAGCAGCCGTTGGTTGCACCTCAGGTACAACAATTTGTTCGCCTCTGTTGTTGTTTGGGTCAAAAGGGCTATAGTGTAATTCTCAATTGATAGCCAGAAAAGTTTACTGGTAATTTTGAATTGATTTAATTGGATTTAGTCAACTCTTTTATCTGCGCATAGTTGAATTACTACTTACAAAATCACTAATGCTTTTTTAATTTAAAAAAAGACATTTTCTATAATTTTATTTCTTTTTTAATTGGTTATACAACATTGAATTGAAATAGTCAAATTTAAAATTACTAGCTGTAACTATTTGTATTCTTTTTGGAATAATTGTTTTTCAAGTTTCAACGCACTAACAGTGACCAAACTATGGGCTATGAGTAGTTACAATGTATGTCGGATTTAAACTTATGAAATATTTATTTTTGGGAGTAACAAATTGGTGGTTTGGACAGTGCTTCCAAATATAATGTTATTATGAGGAATAGTTGTGAAATAGTGTAATATACTTATATTCAATTTGGTATATATATGTTAGAAAGTGTAGTTTTTTTTTTTTATGTAATTTTTTTTTTCTAGTTGGTACTCACACACTTATCTTAATTTCCAATCCAAATTGTGCTCCCAAATATAATGTTATTACCAGGAATAGTTGTGAAATAGTGTAATATATTTATACTCAATTTGGTATATATATGTTAGAAAGTGTAGTGTTTTTGTTTTTCTAGTTGGTACTCACAATTTGGTATACATATGTTAGAAAGTGTAGTGTTTTTTTTTTTATATAATTTTTTTTTTTTCTAGTCGGTACTCACACACTTGTCTCTTCTGAGACTTGAACCCATGACCTCCTTTTGGAAGGTAAGAGGTTGATACCGCTAGGTCACCAGCCCTTTCTTTTTTCTTTCTTTCTTTCTTTTTTATTTATTTATTTATTTATTATTATCAACTTGAAAACATTTTAAAGGAACTATATATTGTTCTCTAATATAAATATATATATATATATATATATATATATAAATGTTTCTAAAGAATGGTTTTCAGAATCCGTGAATTGATCTGATTCTTTTCACATGAACTCTAAATGTTTTATAGGTGTACCAGGTGGATTTTGTAATATTGTGCATTGGGAAGTTCAGTGATCTGCCAAACGTGCCAGATTTCCCAATAAGCAGTGGGCCACGAGTGTTTGATGGAGAGGTCATACACTCCATGGATTATGCAGCCATGGGTTACAATCGTGCAGCTGAATTAATCACAGGAAAGCGGATCACCGTGGTCGGGTTCCAGAAATCAGCAGTGGATGTAGCAACAGAAGTTGCTAACAAAAATGGTACCATCAAATTTGAGTTGAGCTCCAATTCTTTCAATAAAGCAAAGTGGCAGTATATATAGATGAGTATAATGGACTATTATTGGACCATTAACACACACACACATTATTGAAATAATTGTAACAATTCTGATAATCTATTGATGTCATGGTTGCTTCAGGGGCTAGACACCCATGTACACTGCTGTTCAAGACAGTGCACTGGACGGTTCCTGAAAACTTGCTCACAATCAACTTCAGAAATCTAAACCGGTTTTCGGAGTTTATGATCCATAAGCCCGACGAAGGATTCTTTCTCTGGTTCTTGGCTCTTCTCCTTTCACCTTTGGTAACTTCTTCTTGCTTAATAGGACCATTGTTTATGTTGTTGCTAAGAAAAAAGAGAATTTGAAAAGCCTGAGTTCATCTAGATACCATTACGGCAATACATGAGTATTAGAGTTGATAGCATAGTAACGAAAGTGAAATATATTGAATTTTCAAAACATAAGAGGCCTATGTATAGGCATGAAACGTTTAGTGTTAAAAATGAGTACAATATAGGACTGGATGTCCATTTTGATTCTGTGCTGAACATATTTTTTACTCATATCCATGTCATGTCATGTGTCACCGCGAGTAACCTGAAAAAAAAAAAAAAAAAAAAAAAAAAATTAGGTCCATGTAGCACATGTTTTCCTTTACCAAGTCAAAACACTATAGTGACCTGAATCACATTATCATTCATATGTGTAGTACTTCATCCTTAAAACTGCCCAATAATCCTATGAAACATCTATGTTGTGGATTTCAGCTGTGGATATTTTCAAAATTGGTGGAGAGCTATCTCAAATGGATATATCCATTGAAGAAATACAATATGGTCCCGGACCATGCCTTCTTCAAGCAGATTTCTTCGTGTATGTTCACAGTTTTGCCGGCTAAGTTCTACAACAGAGTTGAAGAAGGAAGTATCATCTTGAAGAAAACACAGAGGTTCGGCTTTTGCAAAAATGGACTGATCATCGATGGCGAGCCAAAACCTCTAGCAACAGATATTGTCATCTTCGCTACTGGATATAGAGGTGAAGAAAAGCTGAAGAACATTTTCACATCAACTTATTTCCAGAAATGTGTCACGGGGTCATCAGCTCCCTTATACAGGTATTAATCAGTCCCAATACACATTTATAATTATACATGTTGCATATTTCCATTATGCTTATAACAGTAATGGTATTTTAAGAAAACACCATTATCCAGTATTGATAGCTCAAGCGCAGAGAGTAATGGGTTTGAGACGGATTTAACGTTCAATACTTTGTCTTGTACAAAGAAAAATGATTTGTAGTCCGACATTTGGATTCGGACTACTCTAATGGTTGACTGTGAGTGGGGGGGCGTGAACCCCACTATTGACATCTGGATGGTGAGGCTCATATCCATACTCACATCAAACCAGTCAGACTTATACAACTATCGGACTCTTTATCATAACTGATGTACAAATCAATTGCTTGTAATCCAAACCAAACCCTTATTCTCACTCGGGTGTAGAATTTTTTGTAATTACATCAACTTTAAGGGCAAGCCTCAAAAAACCCTCTCAACGATCCAATTTTGGTGACATGACCTCCCGACCCTTTAATATATTAGTCCCCACTGCTACCACCCAAAATAGAGAGATACAAACCTTCATTATTTTCTTTTAATAATGTAACCAAGTAAATTTTTTTAATCAAAGCACATACTATTTCAATTATAACCTAGGACATGTATAGCAAAAACATTGAATGAAAATGTTTTATTTGTTGCAGGGAATGTATTCATCCAAGGATACCACAGTTGGCTATACTAGGGTACTCAGAGAGTCCTACAATCTTATACACCACAGAGATGAGGAGCAAATGGCTAGCCCATTTTCTTGCTGGAAAGTTCGAGTTGCCAACCGTAAGAGAGATGGAAGATGATGTGCAGAAATGGGAAAAGTGCATGCGACGCTACGCCTGTGACAGCTACAAATGGTCATGTGTGAGTGTGTTGCTACAAATATACTGCAATGACCAGCTATGCAGGGACATTGGGCGCAACCCAAGAAGGAAGAAATCATTTCTCTCGGAGCTGTTTGCTCCTTATGGTCCAACAGATTATGCAGACTTAACTCGATCCGCGTAACCTAGACAAAATTTTGTAGGTTGGGAGCGAAAAGTTATGGCCTGCTACATCAGAATAATAAAATAACTTTGAATCCAAAAAGTTTATGGAAAAAGACTTTTGAAATATTGTTGACGTTTATTCTATTATGCATCTAGGGATACAACTTGGGTTGGGTAACCGAATCCAACCCTAACCCAGCCCGATTTTTCACGGGCTTGGGCAATTACTTTTACAATTAGGGCTGGACTTGAGTTAAAAAATCTCAACCAAATTTAATTAGGGTTGGGCTTGAGTTGAAGTGCTAACAACCCGAACCCGAATTCTAATATGATTTTCATATATATTTTTAGTTTTAAATACATTATATATAATATTTAAACTATGATTACTTTTTTTTTTTTCTTTCCAACTTCTTTTGTTAAATCTTAGCTTATTGTATATTAACATTTATGAGAATTAATTTTCTAAAAATTTGTTTGCAATTTATTAAAAATTTACAAAAAGTCTTTAAACTTTTTCTTGTTTAAGAGTAATTTAATCTAAAACTAATTCAAGATTATATTAAATTTTCGGTGTAAGGATTAGTCATATGAGTAACCCGAATTAACCCGAAATTTTTACCCGGAATCTTAGCCCGAGTTGCAAGCCCAAATTTAAAAGTAGAAGGATGGGTTGGACTTGAGTTGAGTAGTTTAGGTTAAAGATAGGGTTAGGGTTGGGTTTGGGTTTAGTATTTCATATGGTGGGTTGGGTTCAAGTTATACCTCAAACTCGCCCAACTCACCCGAGTTGCAGCCCTATATGTATCTACGGTAGAAAAACCCTACCGGCAACAAATATGATTTTGGAGCCCTAAATGCAATTGAATATGGCAATTGAGACGGTGTAACGGGTAGGCGCTTTGCCCATTTACTCAAAAGCTCAAATTATTAGTTAGTGTTGTGTATGCTCACCCATTTATACACAATCACTTTTCCATTCGAATCCGATGTGGGACAAATGACCTCTTGTAACATTTTTTCCTACTCAATTTCGCAACGCCCTAGTTGCAACTGGGGCTTGGTGTGGCACCGGATCAAAGATTAGGTTTGGCTCTGATACCAATTATAACGGGTGGGCGTTTACCCATTTATCCAAAAGTTCAAACTATTAGATAGTGCTGCATACCCATCTATTTATACCCAATCACTTTCCTATTCGAATTCAATATGGTATAAATGACCCCTTGTAACAGACGGAGACTAGGAAGATTTTCAATTTCTGGCAAACTATGGGAGGGGAATCAAATATCAATATGGCCACACCCGAAAGCTGAGACGCTAAACCAGCTAGACAACCGGATATAAATTATAAATTAAATTAACTTTACAAGTAAAAAAACCACTCCACAAATGCTCAATACAGTGACTACACTGTGTGAGAGGTCCACGTACAGGGTCCAAAATTTTATTTGTGTGAAGCCCACGGTGACTTAGGGTAGCAATGGGCCTGATTTGGAATAGAATATCAATGGCCCAAACCATCCTACAAAAGAAAACAGTATAAATATACATATATATTCGAAAAAGAAAAACCCAATTCTAAATAATACAAAACTAGCTTTTCTTAGAAAAAAAATATAAGCATAAACGAATACTTAATTATTTTTATAATAATAATAATATTGAAAACGAAAAACTCTAAGTTTGGAAGTAATTTTACGATTTCCAATGCAACGTAACCTTATTACAAAATGGACACAAATGGCATCCCAATGCCGGATTTAGATTCTCTATTGTATTCTCGACCATCAATGTTATAGTATGCTATACACTCAATAAACACGGTTAAATCGAAGTGCAACACTATCATTTTGAGCCTCAATTAATATTGTTGCATTTTTTATTTAATTATGCTAAAGTATTTATTAAATTGAAATTGCAACACGTGTTAAATTGATGCAACACAATTATTCAAAACTCAAAATAGCTGTTTTTGCATCATTGATTTAAGAAAAATGCTATTTTTGATGATAAGAATATAGCAGCAAAAAATCGACTTCCACATAGCAACAAACCATTTGTGCACAACACTCTCACCCTTTCTTCACGTGTTTTTTGTAACGACTCACTCCACCATATGATATGATATTATCTGCTTTGAGTCTAAGCCTGCATGGTTTTATTCTTGGACTTTACCTTACAGTTTCCGATAACGGTAGTGAACTGAAACGACGCTACTGAACTATGAGGAGGCCGGCTACGGACTGAACTTAGAGCAAGGAGTCCGGTGGAGGCAAGGAGGAACTGCACTGGCGACTCAAGGACGCAGTTCCGACGTCAGAATGGCGTGATTGAACTACAGTGAGAACGAACGGCAGCGACAGGCTATTTTTATCGACGGGTAGCGACTACTCAACTTCGGCAACCGAGTTGCAGAGGACGAAGGGCAATGGGTCTGAACTGCAGCGAACAAAGTGTTCTTATTTGTGCTTGTTTGATGCTATTGAGTAGGTCCGATCTGAACTAAACTTTCCGCGGCCAGTATTCAAAGCTTTCGGTGCAACGCTTTCACAAGAAGCATAGCCGACCATACTCGCGCGAAAGGCAGTGTGAGTGACGTGCCTGTCAGCATCTCTTGATGAACAAAACTCAACTAAGGAACTGAAAGCATACTTTATAGAACTTGGCCAAAAGAGTGGAGCAATTTGCCATTCTCCATCTAAACCTTTCCTGTTCATCTGGCTGGAATCTCGATTTGACTTGGAAGAAAATGCTATTGCAGTTGTTGCATTTTAATGAAAAGGGCTTTCCACATAATAGTTTAGTTAATTCCAAAAACTCGTGTGATATCGTCAGATCCATAATTGGATTCTGACCAAAATTGAGCTCGTTTCAAATTCATGTGACATCGTGATTCCGTTAATCTCTTCCGCTCCTGGCTAATTTTCGTTACTGATTGCTTTAGGGTTCGTTTGGTTAGCATGAAATAGATAGAAAGCAAAAGAAACAGAAATTTTTAAAATTTGTTAGGAGTTTGGTTAGTGTGAAAGAGAAAAATTTTAGGAAGTAAATTTCTGCTTAATTTTCCTCAAAATGTTTCTCGCAAAAAACACAAGGAAATTTTACTTTCCTGTCGCCTTCATATCTTAGTTTCCTATTATGCCCATGCCACTTTCTCCACAAACTTCATTAATAGGTCAGTTCCCTTCTATTGTATATTGCTTATATAATAATGTAATACTATTTTAATTGTATATAGTTTTATACGTGCATACAAAATTAAAATTTTATTATATTTTTTTCTTTCTATAATTAATAATGATTTAGAGTGATATATATATATATATATATATATATATATATATATATAAATCTAAGTAGAGTGTTGGGTGAAAAATTAGGATTAGTGTCTCTACGCATACAATTTATAATTTAATTCGTACATATACTTTTTTATACATAGACTTCTCTCGACTTTAGGACTATAAGTAATTAGATGTACCAAACTAATTTTATTTTAATTCTACATATATTAGACGTATCAAATTAATTTAGTTGAAGCATTTTTCTATGACTAAAAGTATATATGTCAACTTCAATTCTTTTTCCTAAATATTTTTTGGAACAAAATTTTTTATTAATTAAACTTTTACCTATAATCACATATATAAAATTATTAAATATCAGAATCATTGTTTCATTTTGAACTTAAAATTTTAATTTTGTTCAAGAGTCAGAAGATAGGGCAATGTCTCAAAAAGAGTACAAAGTAATGTTATAACTAAAAGGGTAGTTTTGATAACTGCAATCACTTTCTTTTTACTTTCATGCTTTCCAAACTCACAAAATAGTATTTTCTCATAGTTTTCTTGAAAAAAAATTTTGCTAACCAAATGTATGATGGAAACTTGATTTTTTTTTTCTTTTTTGCCCTTTTTTTCTTTTTCACTTTCTATCATAATTTTTCGTCTAGCCAAACAGACCCTTAATGAAAAATAATAGAAGTTGGAGGAAGGAAAAAAAAAAAAAGGGGACCATAAAGTGATTTTGGTTGGCCATGAAGACATCTAGGAATCGGTATTTGTCTGTTGTTTTCTAGTCGGTTGGAATAGCAAAACTCTTGATTTAATGATCTTTGAACACAATTAACGAGGAACTTGAGATTCTTGTGTTGCACTTCCATTTATTTGTGTTGCACATGTGTTAAAGAAAATGAGTACAAACATGGAATGTGGTTACTTCAATGTGATGGGTATGGGAAATTGCCCTATCTAAAACAAGGAAAAAAACTTTAATGTAAAGGTCATAACATGTCATGCTATGACCAAGAAATTAGAACATGACATGTCTTGTAACACCCATCTAAATATATGTACAAATACATCAGAATTTAAATGTTTTTTAAAAAATTATTTGTCTATGAAATAAACTTGAATCCTCGACTACTTTGAGAAGTCCAGATTGCAGATCTACAATTCTACTATAAAAGGAATATGGGGTGAAAAGAAAAAAAGAAAAAAGAAAAATCCAATTCTAAATAATTCAAGATTCAATTTTCTTAGAAAGAATATAAGCACACACAAATACTTAATTATGTGTCCGCCTCTTTGTAATTTTTTATAGATTAAATTTAAAATTTATAAAAGAAAAAAAAAAAAAAAAAAAAAAACGAGAATAGGCTTAGTTTGGTTAGATGGAAATAACTAGGAATGAAAAGAAACAGAAAATTTTCGAACTTTTTACGCAAATTTTGATTTTTTAAGAAAGCTATATGAAATTTCAATTGTACCCCCTTTTCACTTTCTAAAATAAATTGTATTTATGCATGATTTTTGGTAAGAATATTATAATAGTTACCCCTATCTCTACAATCTAGACATTAGAGCTGTTGTCATATTTAATTAAAAAATAAATAATTTAGGTAAATCACAATATTTTTTTATTACTTTTCATGCTGTTCCAATTATAAAATGATATTTTCTCACAAATTTCTTGAAAAATTTTCATGATGAACGAATAAATCTTAAAAAATTTATTTTTTGTTTCCGTTACTTCACTTTCATTCACTTTTATTTTCCAACATTGATTTCCATCTAACCAAACTAATCCTAAAATTATGTTTGGAAGCATGAAATTGGTGTGTTCGTTTTATGTTCTAATATGTAAGCAAATCATGTTACAAAATGTACACAAATTATATCTTATTGAGGGATCTGAATCATTTATCGTATCCTCTTCTACAACACACAATTAAATCGAAATCCAATCCTATCAGGCCTCCATTAATCATACTGCGTTCTTAATTTAATTGTATTGCAATCTTTAATTAAAAATGTAGTGCACCCTCGATTTAATTTTGTTGCACATGTGTAAAAAATAAAAAAAAAATTTGGGTACAAGCACATGATACGGTTCCTTCAATGTGATAGGTATGGAAAAAATTGCCCTCCACAAAAACAGGGAAAAAATTGAATGCAAGGTGGATAACATCTTAATGGGGGTATCACCAAGGTACTTCCAACTTGACATGTGGTATGACACCCACTCTAAATAAATGTACAAAAAAAACATTTGAATTAAATGTTTCCTACCATATAATTTGTCCATGTGATGCACTACACTTTAATCCTCAACGACTTTGAGAAGTTCAGATTACAGAGCTATTCTTGCAGCTACTGTACCCAACTAAATTTATTTTATAGTTGATATGCAACCCTCTACAAAAAACGTAACGTTATGTTAGGTGGGTAAGGAAAAAATTTGATGGAAGGGAAAAAGAAGCCATGAATGAATTCGTGTGTAAACTTATAATTTTTTATATTAATTAATAAGAAAGAAGGAAAGAAGAAGTTTTATTATTTTTTTATAATTATATTCAAAAATATTTATAATATTATAATTTGTAGGGGTTAATTCTGTAATTTAAAACTTGTATAATTTATGATAGTATTTACTATAATTTAAAACTTTTATAATAGTTCACTTATCTTTTCTTTTTTCTTTTTTTTCCCGGATTCTTGTAAAGTAGGAAGTATGATTATCCTTCCTCTTATCATATATTTCCTTTTATCATCTCTACGAACAAATAAGATCTTATTTTCTCTCCATACATATTCCTTCTTTTCTACCAAATACGTTTTCACTTTTACATTCTATGACGGAAAATAATATCATTGACGACTTTAATACTCCGACTTAAAACCAACAAATATAAAAATATGTCTAAAATTTCAACTTAAATAGGCATCATTATTATTCTAGTTTATTTTTCATGAAATACACCCCTTCCCCTTTTCATATCTTTTCAGTTTTTCATAACCCCTTTTCTTATCTTTTTAGTTTTCCACAGCTAAATCATCTTCTTTTTCCTTTTCATAGCAAGTTTCATGGTACTCGAATTTAGTAATTTGGTTTGTACAAAATCTAGAGCAAGAATTGCAATGTTTTTTATAATTTTTCTGCTTTGCAATTTTTTTTTAAAAAAATTCTCTTCTTGTTTTTGTTTTTGAGAGCCAGATGATTAGCTTTGATCATTATATCAATTAACAAATGTTTATCAAAGTAATAAATATAACATTAATGATCAAAGACACAATCTGAAATATCTCGATCAATAGTCCTTAAAGAGATGCAATTTGAAATATAAAACAAATATATATGGTTAAAACTTTAATCGCCAACAAAAAATATTAGATTAAGATAAACCTAGAAAAGGAATTACAACTTTTTAAATTGTGAATTAACTTATATTTTAAAATGGGTCCCATTATATTTGACACATGAGTAACCATGTAAACTCGGTGAAGTAATAAGTTTTTATTTGGCATTATATTTGACATACGAGTAACCACATAAATTCGGTAAAATAGTAAATTTTTATTTATTGGGCCAAATATAACTCTTCTATAACTTAAAAATACCAATAATTATTAGTTTCTTTTTCCTTCAATAATAGTTAATTTAAATGGTATAATCCCATTCCTCCTTAAAATTTTAAATGGTATAATAATCCCATTCCTCCTTAAAAAAGTGTTTCATACTCGCTCCACTGTTCTAATTGGTAAAACATTCAGCTTTCGAAAGGATAAATAAATAAATAGTAAATTTTTTTTTTTTTTGGGAAAAAAATAAAAAACATTCTCTACAAAGACCTGGACACGAGCTTTTATTGGCTCCAATCCACAAGGCCATCAATATCCTGATCAGGGTTGGCTTACTTCTCGTCTTCTCCGCCGTCCGATGCAGTGAATATGGAAAAATGATTATTTAACAAAATATAATTATGATGATATCATATAACGGAGACACGCAAACGACTGGAACCCAGTACCGAAAATCATAACCGTCGAAGGTGGAAAATCAAAGACTAGCTGACAAAGTCTCTCTCTCCTCTCTCTCTCTCATCGAAAGTCTTCGACTTTGTTTCTTCTTCGTTGCTTGAGATGGATGATATGATATTCAAATGCAACGAAAGAAAGAGTTAGAGAGAGAAAGTAAATAGTTAGCGTGTTTTTGCTCTCCTACGTTACTCGAGATGGGCCGTCATCGTCCCCTTTCTCGCTCCTCAAATCCAACATTCCTCTGCATCGTCATTTTCTTCGTCTTTTCTTGGTTTTCACGCGTTCATGGAAAAACTAATCTCAGCCATCATTCTCTCACCCCCATCAACCTCGATCTGTATCATACCAGGTAAATCCCCATAAATCTTTTCTGGGTATTATATGCTTCTATCGTTTTTCTATTATTGTATATGCTTTTAATTACTCTTATGATAGATTTGAGGATTTGATAATTTCACGTGTTCTCTGTTATGACCCATCATTTCAATTTGTTTGATGTTGACTTTGGTAGCAAAGATTCGGTAGAATTGGAATTGAATTTGGCAGTTTTTCTCTCGATGGTTTTGAGTGGTTGTTTAAGCTCGTTTGGTTGCTGTGAAATTTCAGGAAAGAAAGCTCTTTTTGTTTAGAGTCAGATTTTTTGTTAACTGGGATCTTAAAAATCTCCATTTAATTGATGACACTATTGTATAATTTGGATTAATTGTGTTACTCCTTGTCTGAATCAATCAACAGAAAGCATAGAATTCAATTTTCTTTTTCTATTAGCTTACATTTACTTCAAATTATTTTATATTTTAGCTAATATTTAGCTAGGAGATTTCATTTTATGAATTTGGTTTGCGGGATTTTGCAGTGGAGCTTTGACTGAAGAAATAAAAGCCTTGGTCCATCGACACCCTGACAAATTCTCTGTACGTGTTATATTCTTTTTGTATTCATTGATCATTTTGCTAGAATTACAGTCCTGATTATTCATATGCTATGCAGTTGGAGAAAATTAGACGTACAAATAAGGGTTATGAAGCAGAGATGATTGTAGTTAGTTACAGCCGGAATAGGAAAGGGAGTGATGACAGGTCAAAGTTTCGGATGCTTCTTGTAAGTTTTCTTTTTAAGCATAAATGTGATTGTGTTACATTTGAATTGTTGAATCTTTTAGAGTATATAAATAACGTAGTAGTGTACCTTGTAGATCACATTTGCAATTTGAGTTTTAGTGTTTAGAATATCTCAGATTGGTAATTGCTGGTGTTTTTGACAGATGATTACTTGTCTTCCAGACTTTCGGCCAACATGGAAGGGAACTCATTACATCTGAGCTTGCATTACGGATCCTCTCCATTTTAAGTGAAGAGCAATTTCTACCCAACATGGATCCAATTTCATTAAACAACACCCTTGATAGGCTTCTCATAAAGGTAATGTTTTCCCTTTTCAGTTTTCAGAAAGATTGAGTTGATGGCTATAGATTTGTGTGTGTAAGTATCTGTATGGTATGTGCATATACATAAATATCATTTTACTGTTTCCCAAATCAGGCTTCCCTCCAAACTCAAACTGATTGGAGTACCTTCTTATTTTTCATACTCTCTTGGTTAGAAAGGTTTTATTTTTATCTCATATTGTTTCTCCACGATAATTTGAACATTAATTTGACTATTTACAACTTGACGGGGAATGCTTTCTTCTACGTCATCATACCATCTTTCACTTCAATATCGACACTTTGAATGGGAGGATTGTTTCTATTTCTCATACTAATTTACTTAAATTTGCTCCTTGCTAAACATTGGTGCACAACATTTTTTATTATTATTTCATTGTAACCACGAGTCTCAAAATCCAGGTGGATTATAACCATCTATTTTTTTAGTCTTGAGTATTATTGGACCGCTAATGTATGTTTATCTTTCAGGTAGTGCCAATGGAAAATTTGAATGGCCGCAAAATTGTTGAAGAAGGAGACCTCTGTGAGAGAAGAAACGGTGTTGTGATTTCTCGTGACTTAAATACATCACATGACTGCTTGGAAAGATATAGAATACTTAAGTTTCTGTTTTGTGACAGGAAGAGGAGTTGATCTTAATCGAAATTGGAGTGTAGACTGGGGCAAAAAGGAGAAGGTTCGTTTTGTTCATTCATTTTGGGTTTCAATAATCTGAAATTTTTAAAGAATTTTTATGGCCAATGTTTTATCTGTTTGTTTGTGTCTTCTGAGCTTGATGGCCATGATTTATTCCTTTTGGAGATATGCTAGGGTTGATCCTCTTTAAGTTTATTCACATTGTTTTAGTAGTTTAATTTGGGGTCAGCTATTGATGCTTTATTCTCTCTTTCTCTGCTGAATGTCATCTGTTAGTTCCTTGTGTTACTCTATGTGCTAAGAACTAAGACGTAAAACATTTTCTTTGTTTTGCATTGTATTTTATTTGTTTACTTAATTACAGGATTATGATCCATATGAAGAAAATCCTGGAGTTTCTCCTTTTAGTGAGCCTGAGACTCAAATAATGCGGAAACTGGCTATATCATTCGAACCACACATATGGGTTAATGTGCATTCTGGAATGGAGGTAAGCCATACTTCTTCTCCTCTTCTTTTCTTAATATTCTGTAGTGGTAATTTTCAATCTGATTTTTTTCCTGTAATCATTGAGATAGCACATGTAAACATAATAAAGTCGATGACATTGTATATTGAACCACAATGCCTGTCTAGGGCTCCCAACACACACTCGGCACACGTAGGTAGCCCAGCCTCCTCTATTTTTCTCTAGGAGCTTAAAGGTTTTTCTTTTTAGAGAGTGTGTGCGTGCTGGGGAGTGGGGGAACAACTTTGTTCTTGTTTGGTTATCAAAATTTTGTGCCCCTTTGATGTGTGAATGATTAAGTTTGTTGTCAATATTGTACAAAGGGAATTGGCTGATATATTGATCAGCTAATGATAGGAACAAACAACGGGTTTTTGTTTTTTTTTTTTGGGGAATGGAAGAAGATGTTTGCTAAGGGGTGAAATTGATTTCCAATATATTATCTTTCGTAACCTAGTGACAGAAGCTCCAAGTTTTGTATCCTTTACTAACACTCATCATTTTTTGGTATCTATGTATTTGTTGCCTGACCACAACATTGTATATTGATGCTTGTTTTTTCAGGCCCTATTCATGCCATATGATCATAAAAACACTACTCCGAATGGATTTTTCTCTCACAGAATGAAATCGATGCTTGAAAAGTTGAACCATATGCACTGTGAAGGCCGTTGCATGGTTGGATCAGGGGGAGGCTCTGTCGGGTTTGTGTTACTTATAGCTAATGATTTCTGTTTAGATATTTTATTACTTTGTAAAAGCTATTAACAATATTCCATGAGTTTGACATGCTTGCAATGGGGCCGGAACAAAGTTAAATTCAAGCCCGTCAAATCCTCTATAATGATCTTAGCGCATTCGCATTCTAGTTACATCTAGGTCACTGTTGTTATCAATTTGTTACTGTCAGCTTGTGATCTGATACTGCTTTGGCAAATTTGACAATGGAATTGACACTAGTGCTTCGTCAGAAGTGGTGAACTCATGAAAACATGCACTACTACATGGTGTTGATGCCTAATTAGGATTTGACATGCACACTAGTCAGTTTGTCTGATATGGCGAAAAATATTTAAAGCATTCGTGTTGCATATCTTGTTGCAAATGTTTTGAGACAGCAGGACACTTCCAATTCTGCAAGTCTACTTCATTGAAGCTTTACTCCCCACTATATACTTTGTTTTTTTTTCGCTAATACGATCAATTTCTTTTTCGCACTTCCTCTCTTCAAATAAAACCTTCTAAATTTTCCAGTTGCTTCTTCACATTGATGGTGTTACAGTTTTTCAGTTGCATGAATTATCCCTTTTAATTTCTGACCTTGATAATTCTCCAAAATTTTATACCGTATGGGGCTTATCCTTGCACCCACCCACTCTCTAAATGCTTAACACTCTTGCAGTAATATTTAGAATTGTTCCTTATTTGTTGTTTGACTTCAGCTTCATATTTCACGGTTGTTTTTAATGTTCTTTTGTAAAACTTCCATAGTGATATCCATATACTAATGGAACTCAACCACCAGTTTGGATTTACAGGCAATGGTCTTCTGAATTCCCCACCCTTGGGTTGATTAGCCCAACTTATATACTTCTTAGTTTGATCAATTTTCATAAATTTATACTTATCAAAAAAAAAAAAAAAAATCATAAATTTATGAAGTGTATTGCATTTTGCCACATTAAATATTATGCTTATATGGTTCAACCACAAAGCTCTATACTGATGTCATCCAAGCACTTAATAACCCACCCTTCACCAATACAGACACATACGGGCTCAGTGTCATTTTGTTTGGGTTGCAGCATCAAAACAGAATTTACTGGTCTTTACTGAATTTTTCCTCCTCTTCCTTTATTTATTTATTATTATTATTATTTTTGTAGCAGATCCTCGTTTCTATATGGGAAATGGCAAACATTACATTTCTTTGCATTCTTGTTTATTCCCATTTTATTTCTCATTTGCTTTTTCTTGTTCTTATCATATATATATTCAGAAGTTATCTAATGACCTGAAGTCCGTGAAAGTAATTTTTCCTTCCCTCTACCCCCCTCCTCCTCTCTAAATGGATCTATTCCTTATTACTTTTATTTCTTCTTTTGTTTTTCACCCAAATTCCCCATCTTCATTCCTTTGTTTTGTATTAGACTCACCATGTAACTAAATAGAAACATGAAAAATTGGAAAACACAAGTAGGAAACTGGGAAAACATGTGGCAGCTTCTAGCCAACAAATGATGGACTCGAGGGAGAGCTGAACTTCAGCAAGCCTAGAGCTACCTATTGGATTGCAGAAATAAAATGTTTTTGATTTTGATGTATTCATTATTTTGTCATTTTATTCACGAGTTTAAAACATGCATAAATGTAGGTATCTAGCACATGGGACAGCAACAGATTACATGTATGACATTGCGAGTGTACCCATGGCTTTCACTTTTGAGGTTTGTGAAATGCACTCCCTTTTTTCTAGTTATTCCTTAAATTTCAGATTCCACACGGAGAGGACCTTACTTGTGTGTATTGACTGGCAGATCTATGGAGATGGAACAGCCTCTGCAAAGGACTGCTTTAAAATGTTCAATCCTATAGACCTTACTACCTTCAATGTATGCTAGATTTGAAAATAGCACTCCTTACTCGGTTTTAGTTCATTTCATCATTTTGGGGTTCTACAAAATATATTATATATATCCCCTCTAAGTGGGGAAGAGGGTCTCACGGTTGAATAATACAAACTCTTTATTCAACTAAGGTATATGGTATAAACTTGACAATTTCATCATTATTTTGCATTCCAGAGAGTTCTCAACGACTGGTCTGCTGCATTCTTCACAATGTTCAATTTGGGTCCACAACAAGTCGATGAAATTCATCAAAAGACACCCGTTTCCAATTCAGGCAAGTTGTTATCAATAGATGACTATCTGAATGGATATTTAGTAGAAAGAAAAAGTAGATACGGGAAGAAGATGGAGGTGCTTGAAGTTGGAATGCAGGAGATAAGAACATATTTCCGGCTCTTCTTGTTGTCTTCGGTGCTGTTGATGTTCATGTTTTGTTCTAGAATATCAAAGAGTAGTAGAACAATTGTTTCCTCTATGTCCCTCTGATAGTTACAGTTGCTATTTATTTGTTCAGTGAAAAAAATGGGGGGACACAGAGATTTGCGTGTATGATTTTTGTTTAGTGCACGTATATTTTTTCACCATAATGTAATAGTGTTTACTTCATGGTTCATGTCATTTTTCCTTTTTAATATATTGGTGGTGGTAATGAGTCCTGAAAGGATGATGTTTTAGGTCTTGTATCACTTGTGCATTGCATTGGATTAATTAGTATTTAAGAATTATCGTAATCAAACATATTTAAACTGCCATTATGTTGATGAACGAATTGATAATCACATATTAGTACTTCTATATTTTTGTATTCCACTTGCTTCTGTTTTTTATTTGAAACAATTCTCTTAAATTGCACTCCCATATTCCACAATTATCTCATCTTCAACTTAAAGGGTTAAGTCTATCAATTTTTATTATAAATATCTAGTGGAATGCAAAAAAAAAATTGAAAAAAATTCCTATCATTCCCAAAAATAAAAATAAAAATAAAAAATTCCCTCTGAATCTGATCAATGATACCTTGTTCCAAGGCTCATTGTGATTACAAAAACAATTAATGGAGTCAGGTCAGTTATTTGTTCTCCTATGCAAGATTTACAAGAAAAGTGATTTGTACAAAAACAAATATATATATATATATATATATATATATATATATATAAATACAAGTACATTATGGTACTTCAGCCGGTGCTTGTGAAAAAATTGTTACATAAATTACAATTAAGGCTTGTTTCGACGTAAAATATTCTTTTATTTATTTTTTTTTTTTTCAGGTAAAATATTCTTTTTTTTTACTTTGTCGAAATTGAATCCATCAAACGGACTATGTAAAATAACTCGCCAAAAAATAATGGATAAATTATTTTTGTTAAATTATAATATTTTGTCTTCGTAAGTATTTTACAACAACCAAACACCAAAAAATAAAAAAATATTTTCTGAAAATTATTTTATGGAGCCTATAAGTAGTTTTCATAGAACTCCATAGTCCATACCAATGAAACCACACACTGGGCTTAGCAATTTGGCCTAGCTGCGCGATTTAAAGATGAAAATAGAAAATAAAAACTAGAAAAAGTTGTGTGAAAAACAATTTAAAGAATTAAGTGCCGCTTAAAATGAAGATAGATTTAAATTGAACACTTGAAATTCAAAACAAGACATGGGCAACTTATGTTGCTCAATTGCAAAGCCCCAAACACCAAGAAATAAAACCAAGAGGTCACCAGACCCTAGAGATGCATTTCTAAGATTTCCCAATACCAACCGACAGAATTTTGAATCACTGATAATAAATAAAAAGTAACACTTGGGTGTGTTTGATGCTATAAAGAAAGAAAGAAAAAAACAAAACTAAGGCCATGACAAAAAAATGTTACTATCATTTCACAAGCCGCCTCCACAAAACCTTATATAAGTAATTTCTGTGTCCGCGGCAGCAGTGTTCTTGACTTCTCTGAAACATAACGATGCACATTTGATACTAGCCTAACAATGTAGTCCGCTACTTGGTTCCTCCACACGACAAATTCCGAATTTACGCATTAAGAGAACAACTTCGCTGCAAACAAAGGTAAAACATAATTAAATTATAACAAAATGAAATTCAAATAACTCAATAAAACAAACAAACTACGTTTTCTTTGGAAATGTTTATCAGCCGGACTAGATACCCGAATTCAACACTTCTAACAACACTGTAGTTGTCGGACTCAATATTACAATCTCCATGTACTTGCAATCCTGGCCTCATCCATTTCTTTAACGATTCATTTTTCGGGTATGCCTGAGGCCCAAGACCCCACCAACACCAAACATCAGATAAATCCACCACACAAATAGAGAACAGGGTAGGAGAGAGTAGTATCTTTGGAGTTAATAAGATAAATCCGATGCAAAAGACTACGTACAAACAGAACAAAAGTAAAAGAGAGATAGGTTGACCCAAACCAACGCTTCAGAATTGAGGTTCAAATACCTTCCACGTACCCACCAACACCAACATACTGCATCCACATTCAATTCCATTCACCAAGAATTACAGGATAAGCGAGAAGAGTATCAACACAATTCAGTACATAAATTCTATCATTCTTCTCATTACAACCATTCAAAAAGAGTAGAACATCGGGAATAGAAATATAAGACGAAGTGACTTCATCCCCGAATCAACCAAATCCTCAGAATTCAAATGTATATCTTCCCATCTTGTGGAGAATTATGTGGAAGCCTAGCCACATGAAAGAAATGCATTATTTTATTTTATATGTAGCACTCTGATCTTGAAATTCCTCGTAATTGGTTATTCGAAAACATACCTTTTTGGGTTAAAACTAGGCCAAAGAAATTGCTATTTGGTTAAATGATAAAAAAATTTATCATCCCAAAATAACTATGTTTTCCATACATGTAACAAAATAAGTACACAACTTCGACCCAAATAGAAAATCAAACGCAACCAATCAAAACATTCCAATCAAAACATTCTAAATATAAAATCCCTAAAAAAAACAAGCACAAAGCTAATTAAAGCTAAATGTAGTAGGCTTGGTTTATTTCAGACACCAACACTTTCACTAGGAAAGTATCTAATACTAAAAAGATTCATTGAAAAGTTTGATTCAAAACTTTTTCAAGCAAGGGTCATGGTTTAAATTGGCCAAAAAAAAAAAAAAGATTGATTAATTTATGCTAATGATGTTCTTAATTTTTCCAAATACATAAAAAAGACAATAAATATAATGCAACATCCTTAATTTAAAATAATAAAAAAAAGTCCTAAAAACATACCTATCTTTCCCTTTCCACCCACTCCAACGGGCTTTTTTTCTCTTCCGAAAAAGTAAACATAGAATTTCAAGTATTGAAATTAGTAGTTGAAGTAATTTTATTCATTAATTGAGCTAGCATCACAATCATAAGGACATAAGTAATTTTCAAAGACGAGATGCCCTGTATGTTCAAGGCGGCCTTTGATTGACATGTCAATTCCAATTGCCATCCCAGATTGAACTGGTTAAGCAAATTCCAAGATGCCCTGTGTGTTTAAGTACCTGCTGGTTCCTAGAGGTTGGCTAGTTAAGCACATAATTCAGGCCAGACTCTAATGCGTGTGCATAAACTGGTATTGCCATGAATCAAACAAGAAGTTTAATAAATCAAAAGCAGCACATAATTCATTGCAAAGATGCCATATATGTTAAGTACCTGCCAGTTTCTAATTCAGGCCAAAAACTAATGTGTGCAGATACTGTTATGGCTAAAAATCAAACGAGAAGTTTAATGAATCAAAGCAATATAGGAGTGAAAATAATTCCCTGATCATACTAAACACAAAGAATCTCATCCATAGTATGATAGAAAATAGAAAAGACGGTGAAACTCAAACATTCATACAAGTTCAAAAACCAGCCAGGGACAACTTATGTTTCTCAATTGCACCCCACCCCATATCAAGTGTTGAGACTACTTTTCAATAGTTTCTCCCCAACTAAAAGTGGTAAAATATGCATTTCTAAGAACTAGTAAATGTATCATAAGCCTAAGTTTTGAGCAAACCTGAGTTCTGTTTTTAGTTCATCCTCTGCTGAAAGCTTGATAACTTCGGACATATCAGAAGCGTTGCGAAGCCTTGCTTCTCTTGCTAAATAATCAGCAGCTTTGTACTCTCTGATGCCTTGATTCTCTTGCTAAATAATCAGCAGCTTTGTTACTCTGTGAAGCCTTGCTTCTCTTGCTTAATAATCAGCAGCTTTGTTACTGTGTGATGACTTGCTTCTCTTGAAAAAGATATATAAATACTTAATTATGAAAAATAAAAATCAAAACTTAAACAAAATAAAGCAGATTAAATAGATTACCTATGTTTTATTTCAAAGCTTGAATCTGGAGGAATCTCAATGCTTTAATGACTCTTAAACTGTCGGCAAAACTTTTCCCCAAGAGTTTTCAAAAATACTATTTAGACTAGAGGACAGAAATAGACCCCTTGTTGTTTGAAACCTTCGCGAATCAAACATGGCTGCTATGACCGGTTTCTTAGTCCAAAGCCACTTTCTAGCACGTTCACTTGTGATTCCCTTTAGATTATCAAAGAAGAGTTTCACCGCCCTCAATCCGGTCATACAACCCTGGAAATGTCTCTGTCTATACAGTCAATTCTATAATACACCGCATAAAGTTCAGCCTCATTGTTTATTTCAAAGCTAGAATCTGGAAGAATCTCAAAGCTTTAACGACTCTTAAATTGTCAGCAAAACTTTTCCCCAGGAGTTTCAAAAATACTATTTAGACTATAATACACCGCATAAAGTTCAGCCTCATAGCAGGCCTCCTCTGTGTCACAATATGTATCTCAATAATCAAAAACATTTTTCTATTCTAGTCCAATTTACTATTCCAGTTTCTCAATAAGCCACCTACGCACCCGTTAATTTCCAAATGCAAATGCGACGACTAACTGAGAATAGTATTCCTGTAATTCACAACGTAAACCCTTTGCCTGTCAACATAAATCAAATTAGTCAGTATTTCAAGCTTATTATGACCATTCAATAACATTAGGGTGAAGTGGGGGATTGAAATAAACACAATGCAGCATCCTTAATTAATAAAAGAATAATAATAAGTCCTGAAAACATACCAGTAGAAAGAATCTGTATATTGCCGTACTTTGAATGGTTTATAATGCTTTAGTTAAATAGGAAATACAAGGGGCTAACAAAAGGAAACTACAGGCTGTAACAGCAAACTACAGGCTGTAACTACAGGCTGTACACTAACAGAAGCTACAGGCTGTACAATTAACAGAAGCTACAGGCTGTACACTAACAGAATTTCCTAATCTTAGTCATTGACTATCTATATTTACACGCCTATCATATCCCCTAAAATCTGGTCTTATTAAAACCGAATATCTCTTTTTCAACACTCCCCCTCAAGCTGGCTTGTAGATGTCTTCCATAGCTAGCTTGCTTCTTAAAACTTCAAACTGTCTCTTGTGTAGTCCTTTGGTAAGGATGTCTGCAGCTTGTTCAGTAGTAGAGACATAAGGACTGCAAATCATACCACAGTCAAGCTTTTCCTTGATAAAGTGTTTGTCAACT